CGGCCCCACTATCATTATTTTTAAATTTGACCAGAGAAAGACAGAGAGAGAAAGTGAGAAAGCAAGGTGCCAGGCCCAGGACTTGAAGTGTGTTAAGCTATATGGGAGTCTAGTACCTTAACCACCATACCACCTGCTAGCACATGTAAATAATTCTTCTTCAAAAATTTCCCTCATTGCTGGAACCAGCAGATGGCATAATGGTTACATCACTGGACTCCCACGTAATTGACCATGGTTCAAGTCCCAGACCTGGAGGCTTAAAATTCATGCAGGGCCTGTGTGTGTATGTGTGCCCAAAATCCTGAGAGGAGAATGGAGAAGAAGAGGTTGCAAAATAGCGATCCTCTTTGGGGGGGAGGGGGATTTCCCACTTTCCCTCTCTCTCTGTGTCTTTTTGGCAAACGCACCCGCAACCTATAATCTCTCTTAAATTTATTTTTTCCTCATTAAATACATAGAGGTAGACTTTATAAATTAAGGTTAATCTATACAAAATCTCTATCCCTTCTAAAAAAAATACACTATCTGGTTACCAAGGAAAGATTAAGGTTCACTTCTTTATAGAATTCAACAGAGTCCATGAATAGTAGTAATTTCACAAATAGTAATCAATCCAACTACATAAACACAGTTCTATGTCATTCTATTGAGAACTTTATTGATAACTACACAGTCACTTATGGTATGCAGTATTATTTATTACTAAAATGTTTTACATATTTGTTCACAACAGATATGGATGTTTTCAGTCATCTTACTAAGAGCATGCACAATACCATCATTTAACTCTTAATGCTATGAATGAAAAAGAAGTATTAAGACAGAAACTGCTAACTATGTTCGCAGGAAAGATAAAATATAAATGAGAAAAAAAAAAAACTGCCTGAATTTCTGTGTACATTGTAAAATCAACCATAAAATCAAACAGATAATTTGACACAAATATAGCCTTAATGTGACCCATGATTACAAAGAGATATTTAAATATATTTTCTTAGCAAATGAGAAAGACGTGAAGATTTGTTAGTATATAAGTTGTCAGTAAACAGTTAAGTAACTATTTCTAAAAACGATGTATAGAAATCTTGAAGAAAACATCTCTAATGGTTTTACTCATATTCAATCAAACAACTGAAATCAAACTGAGGCACTAAATTGAGCTAAAAACAGGATATATCCCCAGTCTTCCTAGTAAGAGGAAGGTCTCTATTCTCACACACATCTACTGGGAGAGACAAGCACTGTACATTGCAGCAGAGGAAGAATCTCCTAGCTAGTGGTTTTTGAAGGCACCATTGCAGCTCTCGTGCTGAATTAAGAACACTCATTACTATTCACAAAGGTGTTTCCTGTACAAACTAGATCTCATCCCAATTCAGTCTACAGGCTGGAGCAGTCACAGCATCACAGAAGATTTTGAACCACTGATTGCCTGGTCAACACACATGAGCCATTGCAATAAAACCCAAAGTGGAGATTGATCTTGAGGTGAAGACATCTGTGGCAATCTAAACCTCTTGGAAAAAGGAAGTCAGATAACTGATGGAGGTTTAGCAGACATTCTTCATTGCCAAGTCAAACTACCAGAAAATGGGCCGGAGGCAGGTGTCTGGGCAGTCTGGATGCACCTGTAACGTCTCCCTCCATAGTGCCTCCATCATCTGACTAATGACTTCTTCGCGTCTGCCTTCCAAACCTAATGTGAGTTACTCTATTGCTATATTCTACATGGGACCATGAAGGGAATGAGTTCTGGGAAATCTGCTTCCCAACATCACCAACACCAACTTAACACAATCTAGAAATCTCTATTTCTAGATCGTATAGTCCAAATACAGGTCTCTCCTCTTAATTCGAACTCCATTATCCAAGTAAAAGAAATAGTAACGAAGATTTAAAAACCACCACGTGATGATCGAGCTCCATGACACTGTGGTAATGCACCACTCAAGAAAAGTGGATCCCATATAGGAAGCTTAGTTCGAATGTATGGCCCAGTCAGCCTGGCACATGCCTGGCATGCGTGCAAGCGGCTAGGATCTGACAGACTGGAGAGTGGGAGGAGGAGAAATCACAGCATGAGCAGAATCTGTGGAGACTGCTCATATATCTCCCATGAATTTATACATGCATATTTCTATTGTGATTAAAAGTTTTTAAAAAATGCCACATGAGGCAAGTAGAAAAATTACAATTCACAAAGACATTTTTTAGCAGTGTTAATCATAAGAGAACTCAAAAACTGAATTACAAAAAAAAATAAAAGGCTTACATACTAGAGATACATTTGAATTACCCATGAACTAAATACACTTCTAAATGAAAAAAGATAAATTTAATCAAAAAAAAAAAAAAAACAAACAAAACCAAAGAAAACACTTTTTTTCCTCAGCTAGCTCTATAGCACAGAGGTTAAGTGTACTGCATAGAGAGCTGGATCTGACATGGCTGACCATGATTCAAATGAAGGCCCCTGCTGAAAAACAGAGGTGCATGTATGTGCAAACCCAAATTCTGAAAAGCTGGAGAAACGAAGTAAAAAAGGATTATGGTACGACCATGTACAATGGGGGTGGGGTGGGGTGGGATGGGGGAGGTGCTGGTATTCTCTCGCTTTCTAACTTGGGAGTGCACGTACCCTCTGACAATAAAAAATAACCAACAAGACCAAAAAACACTATCTACTAAACACATACACCATTGCTTACATAGTATGTACAAAATTCTCTTAACTCAATGTTTCTTTTCCACATTAGAACTCCATTGTCCAGTGATCCACTTTAGGTATGAGCTAAAGATAACTCGTTTATAACTTTCATGACATTTCCTTTCTGTTTTATGTTCTATGGAGTATTTAAAACAAATTACTTGGCATAGACTGTTCATGTTAGTAACATCTGAAGAATTTCTGCATGAGTTTTCATGAGTTCAACAAAATATTTTACAACTGGAAAATTTCTTCTGTTTTCACACTGACATAATTTTGACCCTGTGTACACTCTTACCTGTGGACTAAGTGGAGACTTCTGCAATATTGCTCATACTGAAGATATTTCTCTCCATGTTTTCTATCATGGTTTTGAACTGAAACAAATAAAGACTTTTTCATATGCTTATATCAATGGAAGTTTTCTTCTCATGTGTTCTCCTGTGTGGCAAAGTTGTATGATAATAAAAGCTTTCTTGTGTTCTTCCTCGAGTTTCTCAATAGTATGAATTCTTTCGTGATTTTGAAGAGAACTGGAACAGTGAAAGGCTTTCCCACAGCCCTTATACATATGGTTTTTCTCCAGTATGACTTCTTCCATGTATTCTAAAGAGATGGGGTAAACTGAATAATTTCCCATTCTTCACACATGTAAGGTTTCTCCCTGTTGTGTGTTCTTCCATGTATTTGTAACTGATGGGCATAACGAAAGGCTCTCCCACATTGCTTACATTCGTAAGGTTTCCCTGCAGAGTGAAGTCCTTCGTGTTTTCGAAGGGAACTGAGAGAAACAACGCCTTTCCCACATAGTTGACATTTATAGGGTTTCTCTCCACTGTGACTTCTTTCATGTTTTCGACAATAACGGGAAGAACGATAGGCTTTCCCACACTGCTTACATTCGTAGGGTTTCTCTCCTGTGTGAGTTCTTTCATGCTCACGGAAGGAACTGGGCCAACTAAATGCTTTCCCACATATCTCACATTTGTAAGGTCCATCTCCGGTATGCATAATCACGTGTCTTTGAAGGTGAGAGAGACAAGCAAATGCTTTCCCACAATGCTGACACCTATGGGGTCTCTCTCCGGTGTGAGTTCTTAGATGTCTCTGACAGTCATAGGCACGACTGAAACTGTTGCCACAAATCTTACACTCGTAGGGTTTCTCTCCAGTGTGAATCCTTTCATGGATTCGAAAGGAACCTAACTGAAAGAAGACTTTCCCACATTCCTTACACTCAAAGGGCTTCTCTCCACTGTGAGTCCTTTCATGTACTCGGAAGGAATGTAAATGACTGAAGGCTTTTCCACAATCCTTACACTCATAGGGTTTCTCTCCACTGTGAGTCCTTTCATGGATTCGAAAGGAATGTAAGTGACGGAAGGCTTTCCCACATTCCTTGCACTCGTAGGGTCTCTCTCCACTGTGAGTCCTTTCATGGATTCGAATGGAATATAAATGCTTGAAAGCTTTCCCACACACATTACACTCATAGAGTTTCTCTGCATTGTGATTTCTTTCATGTTTTCGGAGATAACTGGAACAAATGAAGGATTTTCCGCACTGCTTACAGGGATGGAGTTTCTCCCTACTATGAGTTCTTTCATGCATTTGCAAGTAACAGGGGAAATCAAAGCCCTTCCCACACACCTTACATTTATACCGTTCATATCCATGATGCAACAGCATGTGTGTTTGCATATCTGTGAGACAAGTGAACTCTTTTCCACATTCTTTACATCCATAAAGTTTATCTCCATCATGAGATTTTTCATGATTTTTAATTGAAGTAAAACAATAAAAGGCTTTACCACATATCTTACATTCATAGGGTTTCACTATGGTGTGGGTTTTCTCATGTACCTGAAATAAGTGGAGATAATCGAAGGTCTTCCCACATATGTGACATTTATAAGGTTCAACATCAGTTCCTGTTTCTATGTGTTTTCCGACCGTGACGAGAAAGATGAAAGGTTTTCCCCATTGTGTATGTTTATATGGCTTCTCTGCATATTCCAGACACTCATATGGCTTCTGCCCTATGTCAGAGCTCATATACCCACTAGGAGATGAAGGAACAACGAATCCTTCTCCATATGCACTGGTTTCACATGATTTGACTGTAGGAGGTGTTTGCTCTTTCACATTGTTGTCTGTGACATGACTGATGGTTTCCCCATATGGACTAATTTCTTTCCCTTCATATATAGGATTTCTGTGAAGAATGAGCAGCACATTACTATGATGTCTCGATTAATATATGTTTAATTTAATTAATTAATAAGTACTGGAGCCAGCAGGTGGCATGGTGATTAAGGGTACTGGCCTTCCATGTGGCTGACTGTGGTTGGAATCCCAGACCTGGTGGCTTGGTTTCTTACTTTCTCTCACTCTCACTCTACTTCTGGTGAAATTAAACATAATAATAAAAAAATGAAATGAAATTAAACAATTATTAAAAATAAGAAGTACTAGGGACCAGCAGTTGGAATAAAAACTGTGTTGCTGGACTCCCACGTAATCGACCATGGTTCAAGTCCTAGACCTGGTGGCTTAAACTCACGCTGGGTGTGTGTGTGTGCGTGCCCAAGATCCTGAGAGGAGAATGGAGAAGGGATTGTGGCATGGCCATCCCCCTGGGGGGAGATTTCTCACTTTCTGTCTCTGTTTAAGTCACCAAGTCTGAGATTCGAACCGCGGTCAACTACATGAGAATCCAGTGACATAGCCATTACGCTAACTGCTGGTTCCTGGAATAAATAATCTTGAAGCTGGGTTTTGTTCATTTGTGTTTAAAATTTCGTGACAGTTTTCCAAGGGGATATTTTTTCTCTTGTGAATGCAAATTACCTTAGATCTTTTATAGCATTTTCATACTTCTCTTCAATATCCTCGTCTTCCCAGTTTCTCCCTAAAATACAGACAGAAACATGTTATATTTTACTAAAAAGTATGAAAAAAAATTATTAGATTCTAGTGTCAAAGCAAACTATGACCATGCCTGATTTACTGACCAAAGTACTCCCTTTTCCATGTTGCAAATCTTGCAACAGCATTCATGATTAAAGAACCCTGGAGGGTGGGCAGGTGGCATGGTGGTTTGCAGCACTCAATTCCCACATGGCTGACTGTGGTTCAAGTCCTAGACCTGGCAGCATGCTTTCTCACTTTCCCTTTCTCTATCTATGTCTCTCTCAGGTCAAGTAAAAAAATAATAGGGACCAGCAGTTGGCGTAATGGCTATGTTGCTGGCCTCCCATGTAGTCAACTGCAGTTTGAGTCCTAGACCCGGTGGCTTAAACTCAAGCTGGGCGCATGTGTGTGCGTGCCCAAGATTCCAAGAGGAAAATGGAGGAGAAGGGATTGCAGTGTGGCCATCCCCCCGGGGGGTGATTTCTCACTTTCTGTCTTTCTGGCGAGTGCACGCACCCTATAGCAAAAACCTATCAAAAAAAAAAAAAAAAAAAAGAAAGAAAAAAAAAAACAATTAAATAAATAAAAATTCTTAAAAAAACAACAAACAAACAAAACACCTGGGGGCTAGCAGGTGGCATGGTAGTTAAGGCATTGGAATCCCACATGGCTAAAGTCCTGAACCCGGCACTTGCTTTCTCTTCTTTCTCTGTCTTTCTCTGGTGAGCACACATACCATATAGCAAATTTAAACAACAATAACAACAAAATAACTAATTAAAAAAAAACTTGTTCTTAATTAAAGAATGTCATAATCCTTACCTGTAAAGTCCAGATTCTCGATAGTTTCCCATATTACATCTCCGTAGAGTTTCTTCTGTGAAGTATCTAGCAAAGTCCACTCATCCTGGGTGAAGTTCACAACCACATCTTCAAAGGCCACTGAGTCCTGAAACATTTCACATGTGTGGAGGAGAAAGGGTGAGACTGACTGCATGGGGGAGATACACTAAATAATAAGTTCAAAAGATGCTGTGTGGGGCTGGCAGGTGGCGTGGTGGTTAAGGGCGCTAGACTCCCACATGGCCGACCGCAATTTGAGTTCTGGACCTGGTAGCTTGGTTTGTCACTTTCC